AGCTCCGGAAGCAAGTTGGCTTTGTTGCGCCCAACTTGACCATCGACGAGTACTGTGAACGGATTAAGAAACCAACTGAATGGGGCAACGAGATAGAACTTCGTGCTTTGGTTTTACTCTATAACACGTTATTCTGTGTAGTGAACGTGAACGACAATAATAACTATCGCTTGGTAAATATCATTCGTTATGGTGAAGATTTTCAAAAAAGTACCACGCGATGTGTTTATTTTCTTTACACTGGGGGAAATCATTATGATCTGTTGTATCTTGCAAAGAAAGATGATCCAAACTATCGACAAACCATGTTCGAGCGTAATGATAGTGTTGTTCACAATCTTCTAGGCAATTTCATTCGGGATACTCTCAAACCTACTGGTAAGCGATTGAAAACAAGAATCAAAAGATCGAATCTCTCTTTTCTAGATTACAGAACAATTCGACTGGACAATCGTTGCAATATTCAGCCACAAGAATTACAAGTGGACACCCATCGTAAGCTATCAGAGCTTGAAAACTTCGCTTTTATTTGTTCTTTTTTTGACAATTTCAGTGAACAGTATGATTCTGTCAAATCCGATTGGAATGACATCGTTGAAGCGCAAGCTATCAGGTAGAAGTAGATTCATATTCCTTTGAAAGTATCCGGGTTGACATGTGACATAGTCTGACATTCATATTCATGATATTATTATTCTGCCTCAAACTGATAACAATTTACTTTTTCTTTGGCTTTCAGTTTAGCCTTCGTAGCTCTAAGACATGATATTTTTAGCGGACAGCTTATATAAATATTAGAAAATGTAATAAAAGAGTCTCAAAATATCATGAGAATTTAATTCGAAAATATTTTTGTAAGTTAATAATTATTTCAACATGAGTACTGCAGAGTTTTGTCTTCATTTAAGTTGATACCTATCCTTGAATCATTATGAGGCTATGGAGATTTTGATTGGTTGACATGCTGTATTGGTCAAAAAATATAAGACAAATTTTCAGCTTTTTCGTTTTATGTCTTTATGTTTCTTATTGATAAGAGTTTATTTGTATACATATATATATATGTATTCACCTGCTCTCTATTCGAAACTAAAGTTAGATTTTCTCGTTTCTTATGTCAGATCTGAGAAGCGACCAATTCATTAAAAACATCGTACTTTTTTGGATATACCTGTATGGTATTACTTATATAAAAAATCATGGAAGAAAATCTGATTATAGTTAATCTTTTTTTCCGATTACTAATCTATTATAATGGCACTATTATAATAGATTAATAATCGCAAAAAAATCAATTATAGTCAGATATTCTCCCATTAGTTTTTACACGAGTAGTTATCCTTACCTTTTAATCTACTATAATTCTGCGTATCGAAGATAAGTGGTTTTCACGAGATTCGAACACCAAATCTATAATTTTCCTTGATTATTTGAATTGCTCGTGTTTACAAACTATAGAGTTACAATTGAACCAAAGTCATCCAAGTATAGTACAATTGAAACTCCTATATAAATTGTTTCAAAGAGTGATGACGTAATTACATTAGAAATCAATTTTAAATCGATTAAAATAAAAAGTCAATTAAAATTGATGAGTCTTGCCTATCATATTTCGATTTCATAATGAAACGAAAACCAAATTAGACTTATTTTTACGCGGCTAAAATCGTTTACAACACATGTTGGTGATAGTGATGACTTATTTTCGATATAGTTTAGCCTTAATACGCGACATAGATAGGGGTGCAACAAATTCAAGACCTTGAGATTTGGTGTAAAATGATTTGGGTTTAATTTAGACTTGGTTTTGGGCTTGGTCTTAAGTTACTCAAAACCGGTGAAGGTCTGTAAAATAAAGTGCCAGAAGAATGAAAGGAATCGAAAGCCTTCAAGCTTAATATGAAATAGTTTGCATTTGGTAAAGATTTGGATTTAATGTTCGGATTTGGTTTCATTCTACCATAACTCAAAAGTTGGAGTCATGTTAGATTGAAGCCAAATACCAAATCAAAATCTCCAATCCAAGTCCCAACCCAAACGCAAATCCAAACTTCCAATTCCAAATCGAAATATAGTTAAAATTCTTAGTGCTAAGTCCGAACTAGATTCAAACGATAGCTGTAGCTGCAATTCAAATTCAAGTCTAGAACCAATTCTCAAATTCCAGAAACCAAATTCGAATCCTAAAGGTTTCGTTCCAAATCCCAAATCTATTAGAGATCTCTTGCACCCCTAAACATAGAGCAGGTACCGATGTAAAATAAACGCACCAGAAATCCTATTAAAACTGTTTATTCCCAGAAAAGTCAGAAAAAATTGATTATATATGCCAATTTTGGATTAAACTGAATAATTTAATCAATTTTAATCTGATTATTCGTGTGTTTGTTTTTACATGGGTAGTCTAGCTCAAACTTTTGAGTTATTACAACATGAATACAGATGTGACCGCTGTTTGCACAGTTGTACGTGGTAGAGAGCATTTTTTGATATAGAATGAAAGATTATCTACGTTTGAATGTCATTTTGTTGAAAAGAGGAAGTCATTTTTAAAGTTAAAATCCAAGAAATTGGCGATTTCAAGCCAAATATGTCTCAGATTTCGAAAATCTTTCAGCTCATCGCAAACAATGTCTTCTATTATGTGAAACTGTGCAAAAATTAATCACATCTCCATTTCGGTTGTAGTAGCCCAAAAATCTGAGCTACACTATCATTTTTTCATGCGTATTCAAAAACTGCAATATTTTCAATGAATTAGTCCTTTCTAAGGCCTGACAAAAGAAATGAAGAAATCTGACTTTAGTTTCGGATGAAGCACAACTGAATGCATATGTCTACATTTATAAACTTTATCAATAAGAACCAGAAAAGATAATAAAAATGAAAAAGCTAAAGAATTGTCTCTTGCTTTATTTTTGACTAGCAGTGTAATTAACCCACGCTGGTGATATGTCATCGGCACGTAACACTTGAGTCAAATACCAGAGCTTCAATACTCTAGTTGAGCGCTACTTTTGTCATCAATGATCAGGCCAATTATCTTCGCACTACACTACTAATGAATGATTGCACCACTCATGTTAATCGATTGATCTGACTGGTTATTGAGCTTAATTTTTGCTAATGACTTACAAAACATGAGCGAAATTGAAAATCTAGACTTGATATCTAGTCTCTGTTATCATGTTAATCCATACAGTAAAAAGCACTAACACACACACACACATACTCACACCTTTAATACAATCGACGTCCATTCTCAATGGTGTCCATCATTTGATATCGATAGTTGAAGTAATTAAATGTCTTCGAGTTATGAAAAATGCTCGTCTATGTTATGATCCTTTTGGCGTTTTATTTCCACATTTTCTTGAAGATATTCTTCTCTGAATTTTGTGAATTCTATCAATTATGTTTGCGCTTTTACGCAGTGTTCGATGAATATTTTTCTAACTTTTGTCTTCATATTGAGCAGTGTCGGACGACAATGAGTTGGCTTTGAATCCCGTTCAAACCAGAATAGTTCCTGCCATTTCTGCTACTACGAATGTGACAAGCAGTACGGAAGTGAACACTGGTTGTCATATTGGCTCCACAACACCGGCACAGTTTGATTTCGATGCACCAAAGATATGTGTTGGGCCGAAAGATGTACAACGATGTCGCCAAATCAAAGAACTACCGTCTGCGTTACTACAAGGTGCTGGCGGTCCACCATACATACACACACCTATGGAATTGAAAGTAAGATCTTTAGAAGGGGTACCTAGTGGGATTCTGGAATTCTGATATTCTATGAATTCCATGTGATATTCTATAGAATTCAGAATTCAGGATTCGTTTAGATTCCATTGAATTAAGTGTTTTTCCAAGATTCTAGGATTCCACCATTTACTCCTTGAGTCTTTATCTACATCATCTAAACTTATTCTCTAGGTTAAAATTGGTAAAACTGAAGCTAAACGCGATATTTATCTTGGTATTGCAGTCCTCACTTATGACAATCATCCTCATCCCTATAAAATCATCCTACCGGCGAAAACAAAATTAAATGTCTCCAATAATAAATTTTCAAAGAACGCGGCCAATAAACTGGAGTACTTCCAATTCGATGAAAGCAATCAGGAAGATTACTTTGATCCGGTCACAAGACATATTTACTCCAAGATCAGCGAGTCTGATTTGAAAACGTGACTCTAGATTTTCTTCATATTCCATTTCTACATACATTTTTCATATATCTGATGCAGGATATCAATTCGTATGGTCAGACGATATGAAAATCAAGATGATGGCATCACTAGGGAACTGATCCGAGATAGACAATTATATCTGTGCAAATTGGCTTTCTGGCTGTGTGAAAAATTACCAAGCGGACACTACGAAGAACTTTCTCCGCGATCGTATTCTCAGATTATAAGAGAACGTAAGTTCGTCGAACTACCGTTTAATCTAGCGCACTCTTTTATACTCATAAAAGGTTCATGTAAGAAGATTTAGCAGTAGATTCGAGTGTTTGTCAGCAAACTCTCATTTCTTGTTGTTTGCTAATTACAAAGATACTCTAGCGAGATAGAACATGTCCACATAATTCAGAAACGATAGTCATCAGCTTTCTAACAATTTATTTCGGGAAAAACAATGAAAGCTCTCATTTACTATTATAAAGCTGCACAACAATAATAATCCAATATCCTCAACTATTCGCCCATTAATATTTGCTATTCTTCAGATGCGTATACCCAGATACAGCGCAACAAGCTCTATGCAGTGATCAAGTACTATCTGAGGTTCGAACAGATTCATATCAAGCCCAATGCCGACTATAGAAAATCGTCGGTCGAAAAGCAACTTCTCCCACTTAGCTTGTTTTCTCAAAAATAAGCGTATTGTTTTTGACTTCGTGTCTTTCGTAATAAAACTATAAGAGAAATCCAACAGTATCTCCATAAAATTCGCTTTCCGAACACGCCGATCGCTTAATAAAATCATCAAAAATGGACAAAAATCCTATTGTATATGTTATTTTAGCATCGGCCAATGATAAAATTGATCTACAAAATGCTGAACTTATCAGCAATCAAAAGCAATCATTCAAATCTATTGACAATAGTCAATCTATAACACAGAAGGATATTGACACTNTCCTCCTTTCATCGTGAAATTCAACCAAGATGTTGATGAAAAACGTATTATTAAATTTATTTCTTCTCATTACTTCACCAATTATGATTTCAATTTGAAACTGGCCGGGCATCGACTTAAAGGTAAACAAGATTTGTTATTATTTCCTAATGATCGGAATACATTTTTGATCTTATTCAATGAACATAATTGGCCTGCAACAATTGAATCACTTACATATGAAAAAATTTTACCTAATCATTTACCTGCTCAATTTTCTATATTACTTCGAAGTGTACCAACTCATCTTGATACTTCTGAATTATTAGCTTCTATACAAAACGACTATCCTGATGTTATTAATGCATTTCGAATTAGTAACAAGAACAAACTTCCTACTACTTTGGTTAGACTTGATATTAAAAATATAAATGTTATAAATGATTTGCTCAACAAAAAATTCTTATATGTTGATAATATTCGTTTTGCAACTACTGAATACCTTGCACCTGCCAAGGTCTTGATTTGCTCCAAATGTTATCAGGTAGGACACTTTAGGAGCTCATGTAAAAATCCTTTAGATTTTTGTAAATTTTGTGGTGCTGGTGTGGACGATCTTAATCAACATAAATTAAATTGTGATAAAAAATTAAACTGTTTAAGATGTAAAGGTAAACATGATGCAAATGATATGAGATGCCCTATTATTACAACTTATAGATCTGCACTTACGAAATCCTTTCTTACTACAGCTGGTGTTAATAATCATCCACAACAGAATCAAACAAATTACTGGTTTAATAATAATGATTATCCTGTTTTCGAAAAAAACTCTACTAATCATCATCATTATTCAGTCAATAACATAGCCAGCGATGCTGGTAAAAAAATTGAAGAACTCCTTCTCAAAATGAATAAAATTGAAGAAAATCTAAATAAATTATTAGATTTAAATAATAATTATTCTGATCAACTTATTGGTTTACAGCAGGTGGTTATGAATCACACGCACGATTTACACTTACAGCAAATTGATACATCATTTCAACGTGATTTTATAAACCAGTTTGTGTCGCCGTTATGTCAAGTAATGGTGGAAGTAATTCCTACACTTGTAAAACAAAATGTCTTAAACGACAAAACTCTATTTTGTTCTTCACTTGCTGGTTTATGTACCAAACTTGTCAATGATTTACCTGGTTAGACAGATCGATTTTTGCAAAACGAGCAGATCAAATCTAAGCTTATCAACGATCATAATCGGAAAACCCAGCACCCTTCTGACCCATCAACCAACAAGAAAATCCATCCCCCGTCATCGAATCCATAACCGATTCTACTTCTTCATTTGTTCTATCCCCTTTCGCGCGTGTGTTTACCCCACCACAACATGTAAACAAAAAAACCTTTGATATCGATTATGCTCTCTCATTGACCTCTCCGTTGTTATCTAAGTTTGACTTTAGTTTATTAACAGAAATTTGTTATGAATGGTTTTCCTTTCCTACTCTTTCTTCTTGTTTTTCTTCTTGGAAGTCTTCTTATCAACTACGTATCCACGCACTCTCTTCACAATTACGTGTACTTCTTTTTAATGTTAGGGGATTGGACGAAAGGTGGGAAGAGGTCCTTCTCCTGCTGGAAAAATATAAAATAGATTGTGTTATTCTATTAGAAGTAGGTGCTTTTCATCTCCCCTTAGTAAATCAAATTTTCGTTAATTTCAAATCCTTCTATCAAAAGGGTGAGAATGCGTGGGGTGGTGTGTTGATGTTATTTAAAATGAGTCTACCGGTAGTACGTGTTGATTGTGATACCCCGAACATATGCGTATTAGACGTCAAACTCGAACAACCTATTCGTCTGATTGGAATTTATGCCCCTAAGAGCAAATCCTGGGATCGGAATATCCTGTCCAATTACATCACCGACTCCTGCAGTCTGTTTGGTGATTTTAATATCGACCTAGACAGTAAAGCCGATGAATTGGCAGCTAAGAATCTTCTTGACTGGTCTTTATCTCGTGCTCTTACTCCAATTACACCCAATATACCCACGTCTCTTCGTTCCGATCGTACCATCGACTATGCGTTTACGCGTGGTATCCCACTTTCAATACAGGCTTGTACGGATAATACAACTAGTGATCACAAGCCTCTAGTAGGGGTACTGGAGTGCGAAAATAAAGAGAACACGCTAGGTATTAACACACATTGGAAAGTTTTCCATTATTTTCTCGCACTCACTTCAGAATTTTGGGAGAATGAAAGTAGAATGTCTCCATCAGAAGAATATTACACGAACTTTATCACACTCCTAGATTGTTTAAAAGCCAGATGTACTACATATTTTCCGATTAAGAAATATCGAATAGCTATTCCAAAAGAACTCAGGCAAAAATTATCCTTTGTGCGAGCTTTATCATTTCAACATAAAAGAACTGGTGACGTACTACTGCATGCGAAGATTAAAGAATTAANGTCCGAAAAGATTTTCCCAGTGAAATATTGACATACGAAGATGTTTTGTCATATTAACAGAAAAATAGCTAAAATTGACATTACTAAATTTATGTGCTGTTTTTAATCAAATATATGAGTAATTATCGATCTTTTAGCATGAACTTGTAGTCCAACTTATGATCTTTTATTGCTCAAAAGATGAGCTCATTTGCTTGAGTAATGGAGAGTCTAGAGTCTTGACAAGTTCGTGATAGTGATCGATGCACCATTTCCATATAGTAAAGTGTTTGCTTCTGAAACTTTCAGAAAACAATGGCCACCGATGTAGGAATATCTCTTAAAAATTTCAGATCGATTCATCAAACTATTGCTGAGTTATTGATCTCTCAATGGCATTCTATTGTTTTGCGTATATCCATGTTTTCAGTAAAAATGGTCTAGCTCATCAACAACTCGATAGACTTCGATAAAATTTATACTGGCAATAGCTATAATGTAGGGCTACAAAATGAGCCATTGATCGACTCAAAAGCTCTTTCTATTATCGAGTTACGAAATTTACAAGGAAGGTGGACGGCATCTATTATAACTTCGTTCTAGCATTGAGCAATTTTGGTACTGATGGTACTGTCGATCTATATTCTCTGTGGACTACCTATAGACCAATTTTCAGACGTTTACCTCTTATAGGAGCTAAGATCCAAGGGAGGGGATACTTTTGTCCACCCGTGTATCTAACTATATAAAAAGATGAAATTTCTGAAACTTTATAGAAATACAGTAAACTGAAGAAAACTAGTAAAAATAAGTGAATCATCCTGTAAGTCTCAATATTGTAGGAGTTAAAATATTACAAGGAAAAAGTTTATAAACAAAAAAGATTGAAAAATTATACTCAATAGTTCTATACAGTTCTGTGACCTTTGAAAAATGAAGACTATATTCATCGAATAAAGTACATCATTCTTGGCGAATAACAGAGTGCATATTTTGGAAAACGAGGACAAGCCTGACCGATGATAATTAATGAAGATATCGAAAAACATCAAAGGAACCATTTATTTAGTCACACTCGTTGCGACTTCATGACAGTTGATTGGTATATATGTGGATCATTTCTTTCTTTCTCTCTGCCTCTCTCATTCCTAGAATATTTCCTATTGCGATATGAATTCGATTAGTCAGTTCAGTGTTAAACTGTTCAAGTAAGTCATTTTTCGTTGATATTTGAAATAGAAACGATATTTGGTTCTCTCACCTCATAGCAACGTCGATCATTTGAGTAAAGACATCGGTTTTGAATTATCAACCGTGCTTGTAGCATTATTTTCTACTATTGAGAGTACTTGTGTTGCTTTAATCATCAATTGGAAGTTGACACTTGTTATACTGTGCATTGTACCATTAACTATTGTCGGCTTATATGCTTTTTCAAAGGTAGATGCAATCGCTGATGATTAATTTAACTTATACTAATTTTAAAAGCTCACTGCCAAGGAATCAAAAAACGAATTGGATATGTACTCAAAAGCTGGAGAGGTCGTTCAAGAAGTGTTCAGTTCTATTCGTACTGTGCTTTCACTCAATGGTGAAAAGTTTGAAGAGAAACGGTAGGGAATATATATGGGGTGGCCAACCGACATGAAGCCCTGTTTTGATACAGTCCTATTGTAAGGATAAAGCACACTATTGTCCGGGTCGTATAAGAGAGAATCCTAGATAACCCTAGATTGACCCGAACAACACCATGTTTTATCCTTACAATAGTAGAGAAAACCTACCAGCCCCCATCGTGTGAGGTGATAGCTTTTCTCTACTATTGTAAGGATAAAACATGGTGTTGTTCGGGCCAATCTAGGGTTATCTAGGATCCTCTATTATATGGCCCGGAAAATAGTATGCTTTATCCTTAAAATAGAACTGTATCAAAACGAGGCTTCATGTCGGTTGGTCACCCCAATATATATATATATATATATACTTATAAACGAACTTTGTAAGCCATGAGCCATGGCGATATTTAAATTTTATTGTGTATATAGATACGAAAGCAAGTTACAGGCAACTCGTTGGAGTAGTATACGCAAGGGTGCCGCGTTTGGCCTCTTTGCTGGATGGATTTCTCTTATAGGATACATCATTTATTCAGTTGGTTTCGCTTCCGGCTTAAGTCTCATGCATCATACAGAACGTGACATACTCTATTTCAATGATGTTCTTGTGGTAAATCGTTCAATTCATAGATTAGACTTTCGAAACCAATAAGTTCTCGATGTTTGAGTAGATAGTGATTACGTTGGCAAGAATTGCCAGTCATCTTGCGTTTGTTAGTCCCTTATTTCAATCATTGGAAGAAACTCGTGGTGCTTTAGCACCCATATTCCGATTGATCAACGAGGTAAAGTTTTGTTCAATGTACGATCTGGTTCCTTCTCCATTATATCATACAGGAAGAGAAGATAAGTATAAATGAGACACAAATAGTGGAAGATTCGGTTACTTGTGACGAAGCTATAAACATGAATGGCGATATTCAATTTGACAATATCGACTTTGCTTATCCAACTCGACCTAATGTCTTAGTCCTACGAAATCTCACACTGACGGCTCGTGCAGGTGAAATAACAGCTTTAGTTGGTTCCAGTGGCTCTGGTAGGCATTTCGCAGAAAAAACCAATCGCATTTTGATAGTCTATTCTTTGTTGAACGAATAGGCAAGAGCACATGTATTTCACTTCTACTTCGTTTTTATGAACCTTCATCGGGCCGCATTACAATCCATGATCGATCGATCACCAACTGCAGTTTCAAACAACTACGACAAAAGATTGGTGTGGTTAGTCAAGAACCTGTACGTCTGTCTCCTTGTATTCTAAGTTTTGCATTTGATACTGTTCTATGTAGATTCTCTTTGCCACGAGTATTTATGAAAATATTCGCTTTGGTAAGGAAAATGCAACAAGAATCGAGATTGAAGAAGCAGCACATCAAGCCAACGCACACGATTTCATTATGAAATTACCAAATGTTTGCATCGAATACTTTTTCCTAATGACATGCGCTGTATTTTCTATTTTCGTAGAAATATGACACCGTCGTAGGTGAACGTGGTGTTCAATTGAGTGGCGGTGAAAAGCAATGTGTGGCTTTGGCTCGTGCTCTTGTCAAACGACCAGCCTTACTCTTGTTGGACGAACCAACAAGTGCTCTTGATAATGCCAATGAAAAGATCGTCCAAGAAGCACTTGATCGAGCTTGTAAAGGTTCGCACGCACCTTTCTGTTTGAATCATATCATCTATAGTTACACATAGGTCGGACGACTATTGTGATCGCTCATCGTTTGACAACAATACAAAATGCGCATCGCATTTATGTGTTGGATAATGGATGTATCATCGAACAAGGTACACACGAGACACTGATGTCACAGGAAGGATGTCGATATCGTGAGATGATGAAAGCTCAACAGAGAGAAAAAATAGAAAATAATATCGATGAAACAATGAGCCTCACACAAATAGAAGAGGATGATCAAAAACAAATATGTACGTAAATACTTTTAAGAAAAGAATACTTCGGAAGAGATCATTTTCTTTCAATTAGCGGAACACGCTCGACATCGTAGCTATAACGAACTTAACGATGGAGACAAAGTAAATAACAGGAATATACTTGTGTCGAGATGGTTTTTGCATTTACAGCGTACTTTTAATAGGTGTCATCGACTACAAATCGTCTACCTGTTTTCTTGCGACTTTTGTGTTTGAACAGTCCAGAATGGATCATCATTCTAATTGGCTGTGTAGCTTGCCTCATTTTTGGAGCAGGTCAATCAATCCAGATCATACTACTCACAAATGTAATTTCTGTAAGTCATTTTCTCGTACAACACGATCAATATTATCGTAGTTGGTTGTTCACAGGCATTCGAAGCGTGTACTTACGAAGAACGACGTCGTCAAGTTTTTAAATTTTCTCTTCTCGTCTTGTTAATGGGTGTTGCGTTTTTGATCATTCGTTTTATACAAGTAGGAATATATCTCATAAAGCGTTTCATATTTTCTACATCAATAGTACACTGCATTTGCTGTATCTGGCTCAAAATTGACCGAGCGTATTCGTGCTAAAGCTTTTGCATGCCTTCTGCATCAAGAAGTAGCTTTCTTTGATCGTCTTGAAAATAGTTCTGGAGCTATCTGTCATCGTCTTTCATCTGATGCATTGGCAATTCAGCAGATGACTGGTGCTCGTCTAGGTATCGTTTGTGAATCAATTGCGACGTTTGGAATTGGTGTTGTTCTCGGATTTTTGGTCAGTTGGCAATTGACTTTAATCGTACTCTTCTATGTTATCTCCTTATTTGTTCTTGCTTTCATCCAAATACGTTGGCAAGCACGATTGAACAAACGTTCTGATTGTATTCTTGAATTAGCAAGTTCGGTAAGGCCAACATTTCGATTACAATGTCATGTACATTGAAATATTGATAGTGAATCTTCTTTTCTTAATAGCTTGCTGTCGAGATCATTCACAATATACGTACAGTGAAGCAGTTGGGAAGCGAAACAGAATTCGTACGTCAATTCTCACATTTAGTTCTCAAAGAGTTCAAGTCAGTCTTTTAATCGCTTTTTTTTGAATCTCTATGCATTATTTTCCCATAGAATTCGTCGAAATGATATAATAATATCTTCATTACTACATAGTATCCATTGGGGAATGGCATCATTCATCTTGTTGTTTCTTTATGTGCAGGCTCTCATCCTTGTTGAACACAAAGAACTGAAGATGAACAATATTTCTATGTAAACAAATAGAAAGCTTTAAGACCTATTTTACCTGCATGTTTTTCTAGCGTGTTTGCCTATTATACCTTCTCCATAGAATCTCGGCGATTCACCACGATCTTGTAAGGCATTGCGTTAATTGATTTTTTTTCTCCAAGTGCTCTCGTTCAGAACGCGACAGATTAGTGATTCATTGTCAGCAGCTCGAAGTTTCTTCAATTTGTTCGATCGAATACCAGCCATCGACAATTGTTCCATTGATGGACAACAATTGGTGAGTGATTCATTTAGTAAAAGTCTGAACTTTGAACAGATTATTTTTTATCTTATTGTTGAAATCTATCGATGATAGAGTGAGTTCAAAGGTGAGATCGAATTTGACCACGTCGAATTTGCGTATGCATCTCGACCGTTATCGTACATTCTGAATAAATTTCAATTGATCATCAAACCTGGTGAGTTTATCCTATGTATTTTCAATTTAGTTTGTAATGATATCTATCTATTTGTCAATTAGGTCAGCGTGTTGCCCTTATAGGTATGTCGAAGTCAGTTATTGTTCATACAAAACGCTTATATAATCCATTTACAAAGGTGCATCTGGGTGTGGCAAATCGACAGTCATTCAGCTCTTGGAACGATTCTACGATCCCATACAAGGTCGAATTGTGAGTATCTTTCTTTTGTCCTGCCAAAATATTCGTGTAAGCACTCGGCTAACGAAATGTAGTGTCTCGATGGTATTGACATTCAACAATTGAATATCCAATGGCTTCGCTCGTGTCTTGGTCTCGTTAGTCAAGAGCCTATCTTGTTCGATTTGACCATTGCTGAGAACATTGCCTATGGCAAAGAAAACGCTTCAATTGAAGATATTATCGATGCAGCCACCAAAGCCAACATTCATCATTTTATTCAGCAGTTACCTCAAGTGAGTAAAAAATAACACATGATATATAATTGTGTCCTTGTATCATTACAACAGGGCTATGAGACCAAAGTGGGCATGAAAGGTGGCCAATTGTCAGGTGGCGAGAAACAACGTATTGCCATTGCTCGAGCTCTTCTTCGTCGACCAAAAGTATTGCTGCTAGACGAAGCAACAAGTGCCATGGACTCATACAATGAACAGGTTCATTTTCCTACAATGTTCATTAATCAAACAGCCATTTCCAATATGTTTAGATCGTTCAAGAAGCTCTTGAAAGAGCTCAAGCAGATGATCCCACTAGAGCTTCACTGATCGTTGCTCATCGTCTGTCGACTATTCGTTTGTGTGATTTGATCTGCGTTCTTGACAAAGGATACCTGGTAGAAAGTGGTACTCACACAGACTTAATGAAACAACGTGGAGCCTACTATCATATGATTCTTCGCAGCAATACTGCATAAATAGTCTTCGTCATTATTTTAACGAAACTGACTAGCAATTGAAATGAACTATTCTACTTTTCTTTTCTGCACTAATTTTTCGAACGAGTTTTTATTTATTAGTTTTCTTTCCTTAGCAATTCAGTAGACATATTGACAAATCTAAGAGAGCTTCCATGAGCTGATCAAGCATCGCTCAAATATACGAGGCACTCGATAAAATTTTTTTTTCGATTTTATTTTGCTCATTCAAAACTTCAATGTCTAAAACTACTAACCCTAAAATTTTAGGTTCTAATATTCTTCCTATGAAAAGTTAGTCAATACCGACTTTTAGCACTATCACACCTTTTTTGAAGAAAAAAAGAAAAAGAAAAAATACCCTATAAAAGATGTACTAGCTTACGTTTCAACAGATTGTTGAAAATTTTCACGGTATACATAAGAAGATAGAGAATTAAAAGCTGAACAAAATAAGCTATTTTGATATAATATAATCTCTAGCAATTCTAGTTTTATAAAGCTAATATGAGTCAAAGGTAGTCATTTTGATCAGTCCAAATAAAACAGTGTAGCTTGTGCTGTGTTGCAGCTTTAAGAGATCCCAGACTGATTTTATATATGTTATGCAACTTTTTATTCTCTACAAAATGGTAAAAAAATATTTGAAAAACAAGTTTGTCTTTGATGCAAAAAAAAAAGGGCTTACACCTTCGAATTTTTCGTGGTTTTTTGTGATTTTTCAATAGAATGCCAGGCCATCATTCGATAGTTATTTCGATCTCTCGATTTTGGCTGTCGATGAGCATCGGATTTCAAAATCGAGCCTTCCGAGTGCCATTTTCCAATAGGTCGAGGGCTTGGCAATGGGTTTTATTTTCAAGTATTTCTCCAACCGATACCTTCGAATTTCGAGGGCTCAAAAATCCAATGAGAACTACCACGCTGTAAGTAATTTTCGAGCCCTCTTTTTAGCTTTTATCGGTGGGTTCCGATGGGCTATGTCGAGTGGTAACTAAAGCCACTCGTATAACAGTTTTCGTTCGGTCGAAGCCCCTCGAAATATCGTCATATCGGCGGCCCCTCGACCTATCGGAAAATGGCACACCGAGGGATCGATTTGAAGATTCCATGCCCATCGAAGAACCTTTTCAGATGGGTTTTGATGGTCAAAAACCGTAGACTATCGCGTGGTCCGAATTTTGTTAGGTTTCGAGGGGTCGGAAATCCAAGCACTCGAAATTTTAATAATTTTCAAAAAAAATTTTGGTTTTTGTACAACTTTTTTTTGAGGCCTTCGTGCTTATCTAACACTTTTGCTTCCTACAATTCTATATAACTGTTTTTCGAGCCGTCGACACCTGTCTGAAATTTTTGCAAAACAGAAGATTCAAATATATGTACTTACGATTACGAAACTTCCGTATCGATCAGATGCACTAAATATGACGTTTAAGACTTAGACAAACGTTGATATTTTTATAAAATATTTGAAATCGTGAAATGTGAAACAAAGGGCGGGGGCGCATAAGACAGCGTTTTGGCCCCTTTGATTATTACGTCCAAACCTAATTAAATCATATATAGAATGAAAGAGCATGAACTCACGATCATTTTGATGCCAAATCTGAGGTATTTTGAATGGGTTATAAGTGTAAACCGAATCTAGCTTTACTACATGCGAAATGGGCGTTTCATCATTAATACTTGTCAACAGTGTGAGTGATCGTTTGAAACAAAACGAATAGAGTTGGATTCTGTTTACAAGTTATTCTGATAGGTCGTTGTCTAGAATACAATTTGATAATAGAATCGCTGATTNACAGAAAATTTAATTATAAGATCTAATTCTCAATGTTATTTCGCATTAACTGATTGATCGACGTCAAGTAAAACCAAATCATGTTAGTTCTAGCTTGTATAGTAGCATTTGAAAAAGTTGGAAAGTGAATAATTTAGCAGATGACAAAAAATATCTATGTCCACATTTTCAATATTACTGTCTCCTTAATAGACTAGGATACACTTTTCATTTTTCGCTTTAGAAGTTCCTTTGAAACTCTGTAAAGTCATGTGTTTTTCTCATCAATTAAAATGATTGATGTCCCTCAGTGTACACCAAAAATTCGATGAAATCGCGTGTATACTGAAAAAAATCTTTTTTTGAATCGTGTTTTGAGTATTTTATTCTATTATTAGCGTGCCAAAGAAGAGTGAAAATATACAGTTTGAAATAGTTCATTAAGAAAGACTTTATTTATGAGAAATTGATGCGAGATATCAGTTAGAAAATTTCTGAAAAGATTATGGCATTAGACAATTAAAACTTTATCAAGATGGTTTAACAATAATATTTTAACTTATGCACTCAATTTCATAAAATATTTATGAAACAATAGAGATGATTCTAATTGATTAGTGAAAAACATTGTTTTTTAGATGATTAAGTAGAGTTTTCATCCAAACATCAGCGCGATTTATACTGAGGAAAAAATGTGTTTTCTTTTAAATTCATCTTTTCAAAATTCATTTCTTTCAATAGATTCGTCTTTTAACTCTTGAAAAATTTTTTTTTATGATACAAACGTCACCGTTCATTTCCTGGGATATTCGTCAAATCAGCAGTGCGCGATAAACAATTTTCTAGTGTAAATTTTGGTTACTTTTATGATTAAGTTCTTGCATAAATATTTCTTTCGATGTTACTTTTCTCAGTTGAAAACATTGAAAAGTAACATCGAAAGAAATACTAATGCAAGAACTTAATCATAAAAATAACTCAAATTTACATTAGAAAATTGTTTATCGCGCACTGCTTATTTGAATGTCCTGCGAAATAATGAATAATACTCAGTCATAGGTTGTAACGGAAGCATGGTATTAAAATGGTTTGATTTGAATACATTATTTTTTGTTTCCGTTGAATCATTTTCTCTTCATTAAATTGATCATTTTAATGCATAACATAGAAGGCATCTTTAAGGATTATTTGTGACAGTTTTTCACCATTATAATGATGTAAATTTTCGACCATTTTAATGCCATTTTTTCGTTACAAGTTTTGGCTGAGTCCTTGACAATTAATCTTGTATGTGTAGTAAATTGTCATATCTCTGGAAGATGAAGAGGAATGAAACTGAAATGGGGGATACTACGAGAGATATCCCGCTATGACCGCAAAGTTCCAACACAGTCTCATGTAATGTGTCGGAAATCATATTTTGAAAAGATAATGATAGACGATTTTTGTTTCGAGAGAACGGCTTACAAGAAAATTCAAAAAAATAATTATAGTGCGGTGCAAGGTCACAATTATTACGC